TGCCCCCTCAGCCGCCAGCCTGCTCCGCATGCACCTCTGCACCTTAGTATTTTACTCCCATACTGCGCCTCCTCTGAGTCCCGGTATGCTTTTCTCTTTCCTTCTAGTTGTAGAATTTCCACTCAGCCAGCCTTCCTGTCGTTCTGGATGATGTCCATTCTGTCTTTTAGTTGTATTTTTGAAGTGGTTGTGCGAGGCAGCAATCTCCAGTGTTTACCTATGCCGCCATCTTGGTTTTTCCTCGCAGTATCTTATTACACTTAAAAAATTAATGGCAATTTCTCAAGATCATTAAATATCTGATCAGTGTTAAGGTTTCCCTGATTGTCTCAGAATTGGTTTATTTTTCCATTGGTTTCTTTGAATTTATAAAAATTCCCTCTTCTTTCTTTTCATGGCATTTATTTGTTAAAGAAACTCCACTTAGTAAATTTATTTTCTAAATTGATCTGCTGAGTGGAAGATGTGACTCTGTTCTTCTTCCCTCAGTCTTTCTGTTGTGTATGCCAGACTTAAGTCTCCTAGTACTGAATGTGTTTTTTTTTTAAGTATATGACATGTTTTGTTTTTTTTTAAATATATTTTAATGATTCTTCACAGAGAGGAAAGGAGAGAGACAGAGAGTCAGAAACATCGATGAGAGAGAAACATCGATCAGCTGCCTCCTGACCATCCCCCACTGGGGAAGTGCGCACAAGCCAGGCACATGCCCTTGACCGGAATCGAACCTGGGACCTTTCAGTCCGCAGGCCGACACTCTATCCACTGAGCCAAACCGGCTTCGGCGACATGTTTTTATTTCACTTTATTTTTTCAGGTGTATAATATAATGATTTAATATTTGCATTGAAAATACTCAGCCCAATAAGTCTACTGAACATCCATCACCACCCATATTTACAAAATTATTTTTCTTGTGAGATCTTTTGAGATCTACTCTCTTAGCAACTTCTGAATGTGGTTTTGATATTAGTATCTAGAGTTATATAGAGTTTTCAGCAATGGCCCTTAGCTGGTGACCATCTACTTCATCAAGTTTACTGAAAAAAATTGACATATGTCATTGCAATGATGCTGGAAGAAAAGATTGTGTTGGATGTATTAAAATACTGCCTCAGACTCCAACATGAGGTATCTTCTGAAGGAGTTTGTGTTGCTCAGGTGATGACTTTTGAACCTGAGCCCCACTTGGATATGATTTCACTGTGTGGTAAACTGAATAGGATTGGAACTTGGAGTAAATCCTCATTGTTTTTCCTTCAGTGTTAATACATTTTCTCTAAAGTTTATAATTTAGCATAGATTAAATGACATTAATTTCATTTTTTACTAGAGGCCCGGTGCACAAAAATTCATGCACTTGAAGGGTCCCTCAGCCTGGCCTGTGCCCTCTTGCAATCTGCAACCCCTCAGGGGATGTTGGAGAGCTGGTTTTAGTCCTATCCCGCAGGCCAAGCCAAGGGACTCCATTGGTGCACAAATTCATGCACCAGGCCTCTAGTATCTAATATATTGCTATTTTCATGTACAACTATCTATATATATATGAAACCCACCGGTTTGACTGAACCACTGGAA